TCATCAGGTGATGAAATGACGTTGATGAGATGATGTTTTGACTCCTGGTGGGTCAGTCTGACCCTGCTTATCGGTTCTCCTTGCTGGATTCACAGCTGAGTCACCTCCTCAATAGCTTTGCACAGGCCTTGAAAAAGAAACTTAAGAAAAACGTAACCCCCTATTCACATAAGTGTATGAGTTCTAAGATTTAAAATAATATGATTACTTTTTAGATTAATTCAGGTGCTCTATCTATCAGGTTATAGGTCCCCCCTAACATTAACTCTCTTCACACATTCTCATCACTTGTTTTCAGTTTTTCACTTGCTTCCCTCCCTCCTTCCACAATTAAATGCAGGCAATGCTTCAGGTTTTGTGTTTGACTCTTTCTCTTATTCTACAGTCTTTCCCTGTGTGCCTCCTGGAGGTTTAAAGAGGTTTGTGAATCATTCCCTAATCTTTATTTTCGGGCCTGACTTCTCTTTGTTCAGCCCTGGCTTCCATTTAAGAGGCAGTTTGGTTTAGTGAAAACAATATGGGCATTAGAATATGACCTGAAGTAGAAACTGCAAAACAGCATTTACCTTTGGAGGTTGATGTAATAATTACCATTCATAAAGTAGCTGTTAAATGGTTGTTCATCTCTGAATTACAGGCCCAAGTTTCCAACAACCTGCTGTCTAGCCCTGCCTCTGTGACCTTAGGAAAAGGTGGATACATGTATAATTTTGCATGCAATTCTTTTTATGCAAGTCTTTATCTTTTCTCTCAATGAAGATGACTTCCTGAAGCAATTTTCAGTTGCATTAAGATCCTGTTTGATTCATTATTTAATTCCTCTGTCTTCCATAGTCTTGTAATAATAGGAATTCAATAAATATTGAACTGAAAGAAATTTAATTTGAAGATAGAATGTATCTTCACCTGTGCCTAAAGCTTTACATGGTGATCTGTAATAATTTCTGAAAGGTATCACATGCTCACCTAATAACTTTTCTTAGTAAAACCCTAGTCTCTGCTTCAGCCCTCTATACAACTAGTGCAGGGTTGGCAAGATTTTTCTATGAAGAACCAGATAACATTTTCAGCTTTGTGGTCACACATGGTCTCTGGTCACATAGTCTGTTTTGGTTTTCTTTCTTTTTTTTTTTTTAACAACCCTTTAAAAATGTAAAATTACAGCTTGCTTAGCTCCCTTGGCTTATGCCAGCAAGATTTGGCTCATGGGCTCTAGTTTGCTGACCTCTGGACCCTATAATCTTGAGCACAGTGTCAAGGTAAAGCTAAGATTAGCACCACCACTGAAGACATTTATTATGATCTAGAGGCCTGGTGCACCAATTTGTGCATGGGTGGGGTCTGGCCGGTCTGCCCCAATCGGGGTGATCTGGGGGGAGGGGCTGTGGGCGGTTGGCCAGCTAACCCCTGGTCAAATTCCCGGTTGAGGGGACAATTTGCATATTAGCCTTTTATTATATAGGACTAGGGGCCCGGTGCACAA